AGCCGTGTCGAACCGAGGACCATATACATTACAAAATGCTTCTCTTGAAGCAGTAAATGATTCTATATTTTCCCACATATACTTGCCGGAAACAATACCTGAATTTGCTTCTACAATTTCTTCCTGGCTTTCGCCACCACCATTGTCACTCTCATTATCACTAATCGCTAACGTTCCCGGTGTCACCAACTGTGTATATTCAAAGTCTACACTCTCAGTGTCCGAGCTACTATAATTGTCACTTCCAATAATTCGTCTAGAACTGCCCTTTGTTCAGCATCAAATAACACACGACTGCTTGAAGGGTTCTCCATTGCAACACTGAGGCCAGTCGTTTATTTTTAGACTCCCAGGTAGTCCCTCAAAAGATACTCAACAGGGTTGCCGGATCGTATGTACGATCATCCAGTTCTGAACAGTGACTGCTCTGAACCATTACCAAAGTTCATAAAAATGAATTTGTAATTATATGTTTCTGGAGCTACATAGTAGTTCTACTTTAAATACAATATTTTACAGTTAGACACGCATTTGGTTTACTTTACTCTCTGTCTCTAATAATACTGAGCCGACTCTGCCCATGACGCGCTAGTCAGCCCACTGCAATACAAAAAAAGTTACATATAAGTTAACATGTACAATACTTAGAACACAAGTAAACTAAAGATGACCAAATTCATTAGAGGTCAGCAACATCTTTATTACACAAGCAGTCCAGTCATTTATTTGTTAGACCTTGATATTATTTTAAATCTCATGCTATACCATACCAATAACGAGTGCTTTATAATACATGTACTACAACGTGATCAACAGAGGTTGTAACCTGGATATACATCAAACAAATATAAATATGCAGGGCTATTACCTTGACTTGTCATATCCAAAGATTTCCTTTATATGCTTAGAGTAATCTTCTGTTTCAGTTGGTCCATCATCAATGAAGTCATCTAGTTCTGAGTCATACTCATCAGAATCTTCAATGCGACCTGCAACACAAGAAACAATGCATATGGTACTACTCAAGTGGCAAAGTGGGTTGTTATGCTATGTAGTATGGCAGAAGTTCACCAGTATTTCAGAAGCGCTTGCTACCTTCATCACCAGGGTGACTGCCCTGGCACCATCATACTTTCAGCAGTTGTTGTTTCTCGGCTCTACAACCCGGTTGTGGGTTTTTGCCACCTCCTTTTCAGAGGTATCTTGGTCTTTGAAGTGTGCATTTATGAGTAGTGAGTTACCAGCGCATTGACTCTGCACAATTTCTACTCAATCCTGATTTTGACTGCCAGAGCCATCTAGCAGTTAATCAGGAGACTTGGATGAGAAATGGCCACTAAATTTTGCTTATGAAACATCTCGTATCATGCTCGTAAGGTTCTTTTACATGCCGTAAATCTATGACATGGGACCACTGCCTTTACTTCCCCTCCGAAGGTGCTGTGCTACAGATTTTTATCACCCTTAAAAATCCATCAACCTCAGCCAGGTTTGAACCCATGAACCTTGGGTCCAGTGGCAAGCATGCTAACCACTAGTCCACTGAGGATGACATAAACATAGTTGCATCCCTATAATAATTCACAATAACTTGAAAGTGCATGAAATCTACATAATTCTGCAGTTAAAACTTATATTCAGAGAAACTATAAGAACCTTCAAATCCATGAAGACAGGTATTTGTCAGTTTCCAAAACCAGGACTATAAAAGTTAAGATATTTAAATGTTCTCCACATTTTCTAATAATAAAAAAAGCCTTTGACAAAAGAAATAAGTGCATGCACAATGGAGAACAGAACAATGGCTCAGCATGGTCGGTTTTAAATTTGTGACTTCTCCTGAGCTATTAGTTAGATTGAATGAAACTATACTTCAGCTCCTGGAAGTTTTAAATAACATATATAGGATGTAAATTCAAAGCAGATAGAAATTATATTTGTAAAGTCTGAAGAAAACTTTTTATAGTATGGATACATCCTGGTTAAAATTTTGTGTAAATAAAAATTTAAAACTACTTCATCATCTCTTGAATCTGACCCATCTTGTTACCCATAAAATACAATTATGCCAGTGGTCTTGTGTGCATGTATCCAGATATAGGATGATACAAAAGTAGAACTACAGTTTTAAGTCAGGTTGTGAGTTGCCATGGAAAGTGGATTTTGTAAGGCTGTTAGCACAAGAGTAAGCAGTATTTTGACCTCTGTTGCATGTACTATTTTAAAAACTGTTCAAACTGGTATTTTTGACAGACCTCTAACATACTGATGCAAGTTCTTCCATTACAGGCTTCTTAGCATACTGCTTTACACAAAACCTCACACAACAAATTCCATGTGTATCAAGTCTAATGATTTTACCAGAATGTCAATCAGATATCAACAGCCACTTCATATACTGTTCACTAAATAAATCATTCACCTATAAGAATGAGGTAGAGCATGTGTGTTCCACCAACATGCTAAAAAAATTCTTCCCAATCATATTACCATAAAAATGGATGGACCAATGACGCCTACCAAAATGCAGAAGTCTGTTGCATTTAATTCTGTATGTTACAATGTTTTGGATACTACAATAAACAGCATCTTTTAAATTTTAAGGCTGCCTCATCTGTAATGATTATGTTCCTAATGAAGTGGGTACTGTTTCCAAATTCACTTAACATTTCACTGAAAAAATTTACTCTTCTGTTGCATTCAGCCTTGTACAAGAATTGAATGAGTCTAGAATAAAAAGCCTTTAAATATACATCCTGAAAGATTTTATTCATATCTCTGAATTCAAAAACTTCCTGATTTTCATCTCTGCAGTATCACAGAACCGCAAATTAATTATGTTACAACCAATTAAAATGTTTTGTTACTTTTACCATTCCTTGGTCTTCTAGTGAATCTGTTACCAGACAAATATCAAGAAAATTCTAAATCAAATCATAAATGGTACAACAGGAAGGAGAAGGTTCTTCATAGTATTCATCCCACAGAAAGAGATCTATGGCTATTTTCTTTTGTACTTTCAGTAGGTTTTAAGAGAAAAAATTCTTTTCTGGAGTTAGACATTACACATTCTAACATTGCTATCACACAACTGACATTCTCTATAGACAACAAAGTTCATAAAATTACTGTTTCATGAAATAACAACTTCACAAACCCTGGGGGAGAAAAACAAATCTGCCATGGCTCACAATCTGACTTAAAACTTCAGTGCTACTTTTGTACCATCCTGTACTTGAACAGTAGCTAAATTCTACTATGCAATAGAAAGAAAAAAAAGTTGAAGTAGCTATTTAATTTGACCTGAATATAAGCGATTTTTCATTAGACAGGCACTTTTAGAAAAAAACAGCACACTGTAATTATAAACTATGTGCACTGTTAACGACTATAATGAAGTTACTGATAAAGAATGGTTTTTGGTTTCCTATAGCGGCAATAATGATAAAAATTAGTAAGTCTCGCAGAAAGAATAAAGTTTAGTGGGTACGTAGAAAGTTTGCAAGGCAGAGTTAAAGTTTATAAATTAGGATGTTTTCACATCTTTAATTACATTATAAAACTTACAAAGTTCACATTTAGGCAAGGTAACTGATGTATGGTGAGGTTTCACATGGTCTAATACCGAAACACCTGATAAATAGTCTAAAAATTAATCACAAGCTCTACTCACGTTTTGGTGGCAGTTTCGGTTTTATCCTTGCATCCGCAGATGGGAATTGTCTTGGCTTAACATCTGCAAGTGGGAATTGTCTTGGCTTAACATCTGCGGGTAGGAATTGTCTTGGCTTCACATCTGCAAGTGGGAACTGTCGTGGCTTAACACCTGGTGGTGGAAATTGTCGTGGCTTGACCTCTGGTGGTGGAAACTGTTTATGCCTAACATCCTTGGGCAGCATTTGAGTTGGTCTTCTATCTTTCAAATCTTTGGATGGAATTTCATTACCAAACTTACTCCTTTGTGAAGATTCTTGAGATTCTGAGGATAATCTTCCATGAGGTATTTCATTTATTCTCTGTGAAGAGGCAAATGGCTTTGCGGTACTTTTACTTAATAAGGAAGCGTCTTTCAAGTCACCGCTTCTTGCTAGTTTTGATCCTCTACTTACATTAAATGATCCAGAATCACGATTTTTTGAAAATCTCGAATTTAGGGCTTCTGGTTCACGGAACTTGCTTACTTCTGACAATTCAACACTTCTTTCTTTCTCCTGTAGTTTGGCCAAGAGACTTTCCTGCAACTTTTTACTGTAACCAGATAAGTTATAGTTTTTACTATTATTACCACTATTGTTGCTACAACTTCTAGTATCTTTCCTTTTTTGTTCTATACTGTTTCTATTTGCACAGCCATGTCCAGAGGCACTAGAGGAAGATGTGTGATTATTTTTAAAAGGCAGTTTTCCTGACCTGTTACTGTTCTGGACTTCATCTCTATTCCTCTCCTTGCCAACTTTACTGTCAGAATTCCCCTGAAGTTTCACAGTTTTGTTACTGCTGTTACTAATGCTACTGCTACCATTAAGTTTTGGAATCTTCTGCTGTGATTTCTCATCTTTTGCAACTCTACTCGAGGTGTTCGCATTTAGAATTCTTGGAATGCTAAAGTTCCCATCCCCTGAAGACTGGCTACTCTTTTGGTCCATGTTCCTTTTGAGTGGCCGACTGTTCCCGTGACCTCCACTTACGTCACCCGAAGGTCGACCACTCATCTGGTACTTGTTATCACACCCTGAAGGTAAATTACCGATCCGTTCCCTCTGTCCATCCGCAGACCTCTGACCGATTCTTTGATCTCTATTCACATCTGCTAAAGATCCATTATTTCTGCGATCACTACTTGAATCCGCTGCAAGGTGACTGCTCCTCTGATCTCTACTTCTTTCCTCTAAAGCTTGCGGCTGACTATTCCTAGAGATTTGTTTTGAAGATGTTAACGGTGGAAGCTTTCCTTCTTTCCGCATGCGCCATTCCTTCTCTTTCATATATTCAGCACGCTGCCTTTTGGTCATTGGTCTTTCATCTTCATCCTCTTCCTTCACTTTTGGTGTAATTTTAATTGGCTCAAACTGCTTCTTTTCTGCTATCTTCAGCAGGTCACTGAAGTGCATCAGTGGTGGTGGAGGAAGGCGACGAGGTTTAATAGATTTCTCTGGCTTCTCTTCTTCATATTCTTTTGTTTCCCCATAATCTGACTGACCCTGTCTTTTACCTACATTTTCAAAATCCTTAACTTTCTCTTCTTTTGTTTTCCTTTTGCGTTTGTGTGGCATCAACTCTTCTTCTTCCTCTCTTAACAGAGCCATCCTCACTCGATCCTAAGGACAAGAAATATATATATATATATAAATATAGTAAAAGTCTGAAATAACGAGGTCTATAATTAGAAGTAATGAACTGTCCAGAAACCCAATAAGTAGCCTCGGATTATGGATGGATCTTCTCAATCAAGTGCTGGGGATTGTCAGCGATGGTGGACTGTTTGTTGTGAGGGAAGCCAAGGTCCACCCAGGACTGTAGACCTGGCGATCATCATCATCATCATAATGAGAAGTCTGTCTTTTAAACATGGTTAGCATCATAATGTTAAACACAGGAGTATTTCACTGCACCCAGAGCTAAAATGAAGATGATCTATGAAGACCAGACCATGTAGTGGTAAATAAGACGCTCAAATAAATAAGCTGTGCATAAGGATGATATTCATTTTTAATATAATAACAGGATTAGATTGAACTACCGAAAACACTGTGTACATATAATATACTGCATACATTAAGTTTATCATATTTGTAAAATATCAACCACTGCCATACACTATTACATATTGTTAAGATTCCAAATATTGCAAAATTATAAAACTGAATGCATTTATAATACTGTAGGATTAGAGGTTTTCATGGTGGTGAGTCTGAAGATGGCTGTCTTCTGGGTCGTTGCACCTTGTAGTCTGGTAGAACTTTACTGATGTTTCAGAGGTCCTTGATGCCTCCATCATCGCCCTGAAGACAGCCATCTCCATATGTAATAATTTCCTAGCTTACCTTGGTATTAGTTAAATCTGCAGCACTGGACTTGAGAAGAGATTTCTTAGAGAATTTGGGTTCCTCAGAAGGGGTGGAAGTGTACTTCTCCATGAGTTTCTCGTAAAACGCAGATGCTTCCTGTGACACATAGCCATAGTCATCTTCGTCAGGCTGCGCCAAACCTGCACAATAGAATACATAAACAAGACGACTCTCATGCTTTTCGGTGAGTGCACTTGGATAAACAGCTGATATAAAAATGAGATGGGCCCAAAAATATCCCTTTCAGCACGCACTAATTTGTATCATATAAAACATTTCCATCATTCTAATATCAGTGTCTTTAACCACCTGGCTGACCAAAAATATATAATATTTATTTACTACACAACTAATGCACCATAAAAAACTGGAGTTGAATATACAAATAAATCCTCAATTAAATTATTTTAGTGTTAAATTAAGTATACTTAAGCTTTCCTTCAGCTTAAGATTCAAATTAATTCTTCCACCCTACAATTCCTGAGAAATATTACATACTTATTCCAGTATAAGAAATAAGTGGATCACAATCTAAAAAATTATCAATACTGGGAATTTAATATTGAAGCAGCAACTCACTATGAAAATACGACTTGGAACAACATGTCAAACTAAGTTAATGAAGTTATTCTGGGTTGTGATGCCACATACACTCACAGGTAGACATACTGGATTCAAAAATATATGCAAGCCTGAGTTACATCACAGTAAGAGAGGAAGGAAGACAATAAAGGCCATGGGAGCAAGACGCCTTACACACTAACATGACTGGCTGGCATTCAACATGTGTATTTGTAACAGTAAACAAACATCAGAGATATCTTGCAACAAGTATACCAACATTCTGAAGAACCTACCTACGAGTCTATACACTGTCCTAATCCAGGAGATGATAGAGGCAGCCAAGGACCTCTTAAATGTCGTTAAACATTACCAGACTACACGGTGCAACAACCCAGAAGACCGTAATCTTCGTGTTTTCAATAGCCCAGGTTACCAGATTTTATATTTAGTTTTGTAATTTTCTTCTCATTGGATTTTATGAGCAAGTGACAAAGCAGTAGCATAAGCTCAAAACCTATCACTCACCTCTTAAATGCTGTGCTCAGACAAAATATGTTACTTAATGTTTATACAGACATTTCCTCACCTCCCAAAGTTATAGCTGTATTTTCATTATCCACAGCATCTTCAATGGCAGCTTTATTGGCAGCTTTGGTGCGGTTAAGCATGGCTGCAACTCTCTTCTTTGCTTTGCCATCCTGGGACCTCAATGCCAGCAATTCCTTAATAACACATAAAGGACTGTAAATTATGTATTAACAAGGATAACAGCAACATAACTTTGCTTCTAGTCTGAAAGTATGGTATTTCCAGAAGACACAGTGCCTGAAAATGAACATACCCATTGCAGGTACTCTAAAATATGTACATGTCATCTTCTATTGGATGACGACAGGACTGTAGGCAATGCCTTAGGGATGCACACAGCGAATTATTCCTGATTAAAAAGATGAGTGATAAACATTATAATCACATTTCACAAGACACTGATCAGGTCAGGAATGACTTATGCCCACTATGCATAGGAATCTGTGGCACATGCTTATTAGATATCATTGATGAAATTATTCATACCAGTTTTGAGCACTAAGTGAAATAACTCTAGGCAAAAGTTAGGTTAACCACAACTTTGGCCCTATTAGGACTATACATATAAATGCAAATGTGCCATTTCCAATTACAATCCTCACAAGTTTATTACTGGCCAATCAACTTGATCCTTGACCTTGAATTGCTAACAATGCACATATTTAACTACAAAAGAAGAAAATGTAGTTTATGCACCATTTAATATCCTAGCTCCAAATTTCAATTTACTAAAATAGGAAGAAAATAATGACATAAATCCTTGCTCTCATTAGAACTTGTATCCTGAAAATATTTTGGTAAACCAGAACAGTTACTTTGGCTACAACTGGTACACCTCTCAAAACAATAAAAATAATATCATGCTGTACGATATTATGCCAGCAATAGCAGTGGTAGAGCTATCTAATTCTGTTGGTAAAGGACTGTTAAGAATAATGTAAACGTTAGCCTACACACTTTCCGTCGCAAAAAGGAAAGACAAAACTGATGCCTCTCTTAGTACACTTATACCCCAGAAAACTGAGGACACTAAGCATTTTAGTAAAATATATCTGTTGTTATAACAATGGTTTCATATTTGCTGAGACAAGATAATTTTAATGGAGGTATATCTGTTACTCTATAGTCAATTATGTTACTGTTATATTAATACAAGTATTTTATCAACATGGACTGCAGATAAACCACTGCATGCGCAAATCTACAATTATGACAGTGAAATTACTCTGTTTTTTATACATCACATAACTTTTCACCATTTTTGTTGATAATAACAACAATGAACCACTTCTTCTCATTCAAGGATACAGTCCACTGACATGTTCTCAGACTAAACGAACTGTCTGGACTAATCCTTCAGTCTGCTGAGTAATTGAAGTTTCTCCATGTCAGGGTACCAGCCTGACGATGGGTAAGACTAGTCAGAGGGTTAGAATCTTACCAGTCTTTCCACCTCCAGACTTGCATGACATTTCTCAAGTTACCATCCTTTACATGGATCGTCTTTACTATGACCCTTGGATCCCATTTATCTACTCCTGCTTCGATTGTTGCACCGTGTAGTATGGTAGATGTCCACCAACGTTTCAGAGGTCATACTGCCTCTGCCATCAGCGTGATGAATGAGCTAATCGAGCGGATGATGGAGGCAGTATGACCTCTCAAAAGTTGGTAGACATCTACCATAATACACGGTGCAACAACCCAGAAGACAGAAATCTTCATACTCACCACTGTGAAAACCTCAAATCTTACTTGTACATTACATCTGAAGTACCATAACAATTAGAAAATGATTCCCAATTTTTAACAAAGAAACCAATCATTCGTGCTCTTAAACCCACTAAAGTCATGTTGGAACTTAGGGGGAGTAAGTGGTCAGCCTCATGCTCCAGCCATGCTTTACCCCCAGGAAAGGACCCTGGTACAAATTGTATAGGAGACTGGGTGCACCCCAGACACTGTCTGGATACAGAGGCTAGAGGGAAAATCCTCTGTCCCTGTCAGGGATCAAACCCCGGTTGTCCAGTTCATAGCCAGCCACTATATTATAAACAAGTAATATAACAATACTTACATCTTTCTTTTTCTTGGCTTCAACAGCTTTCCGTCTTTCTTCCTCTTCTTTTCTTGCCAAAAACTTCCGGATATTTACTGAGAGAGATTTCGATTTTTGCTCCTTCTTTGGTGGATCAAATGTTGATTTATAACATTTAACCTAAAAGAAATTCGAACAGTAACGTTAAGTTGTAACTATACTAGGTAATCAACAAGTTAAATACAGAACTGACATTACAGGGCTGTACACTCTATAAAAACTGCAAAGAATCAAGGCAGTTTCTATGAAAAATGCCCACTTCATGCAAATGTCAAACAGGTACTAAACATACAAAGAGGCAATTAATTTAAAACTCCTTACCACAGCCATAAAAAGGAACCAATAAATAAAGTGAAAAATATTTGGTATTAAAAATAATGGAATGTTTGTGTTTATGAAAATTAAGAAATTCAAACGACCTTATTAAGATTATTGTATAGTTATGATGAAGACACACTTTAATCGAGAATTTCAACCTGATATATAGTAATGTCACGTAATGCACTTCCTATTTGATTGCAAATGCTGTTCCTTCACAGATGTAGGTTTTAAACTACATATGTATATCACTCGTGACGCAACACCTACAAAAATTTAAAACACGAATTCTCACCTCCTTCTTGACAGAATTCTCATTCCTCTTTGCAACGTGTAATAATGAACCAAAATCCATGTTGCACCAATGTAAATATTGGCAATATATGAATATTTACTTCTTTAAGTCAAGAATTTAATGCTGCATGACGTGTACAGGCCAAAGCCATTTTCTCGGACATCTCATCCTCGTAAATCGTCTGACCTAAAAGTGCGACCAACATCACTGAATTCACACACTACTGTAAAATCTTGTAGATAATTGAATGAACAAACGTACAAACATGTCAACTGAGTGAAAATTGTGGAATATGTGTAAAATACACCGTGAGTCAAATTAGGACAACTGTATTTTAATTACGAGTTACATCTTTTACAACAAAATCATTTATGTATTGGTAGCCGTGTCATAGCGAGCTCGTTCTAAAATACGTAAATAAACACGTTTATGATTGGTAAAATATTGGTTATACATACATATATCTATGTATTAAACCGTTTCCATTATACACGGCCCGTATTTCGGGTTTTGGTCGAGATGACGTCAGTTTAACGATTTCAGATTTGAGGTTTATATGTCTATTACGGTCTTCTGAGTTCAACCCTAAAAAGGAAGGCAGACACCCGTTGGTATCAATCTACAAATCAGTACGGAGCCATAATCTAGAATATCTCCATGAACACTGGAACGATCAGATTATTTTAAAAATTCGGTCATTTGTAACCTCTGCGTATTTGTCCGAACGTGGCATTTCTATTCCTTCATTAAACTAAAATGTTTTACTCCACACGCATTCAAAATATATTTATTCAGACATCGGAATTATTACTTGCAAACGTGACCTTCGCATCAACACTTGTCCCCAAAGATGTCAACGGCTGGTTCTTTGCGTCGTGAGTGACGCACCGCGAAACTTCCATGGCTGATACTGGAAACTAGCTTTGTTGGTGGATAGGTTTCTTCTGAAACGGAATGTTCATTTCATTCACCCATTAGAGATTAAATGGTACATAATTACTTGAACATAATTTTCTCAAAAGTTTTATAGATGCAATTAAGAGATAAATTGGCCTGACATTTAACATGTTTGATTTATCATAATATGAAAACTGCAAGTTAATTTGTGATGGCTTATTTTAAAAGACAATGATAACAAAACACAAAACAGTCTGCATTTGAGTGCCTTATATTCCTTAAGTTACTTTACATTGATAAATACTGTGGGAATACTCACTCTGGTAAAGGAAGTTGATTGTTACTCGGCTTGTCAAAGAATAGTCCACTATCTTTATGGAAACCGAAGGTCGATCACCATATACGAGGTGCTACCCAAAAGTTCAGGGAATTTGCCCATAAAAAGGTAATTGCTTATCATAACTCCTAGTTTCCACCGTCTCCTTCGAAGTAGTCCCCTTGGACATGGATACAGCGATCCCAGCGTTTTTTCCATGATTCCATGCATCCCTGGAAGTCTTCAACTGTGAGTGTTTTAAGCACCTCCTGCGATTCTGCCTGGATCTCCTCAATTGTATCAAAACGACGGCCTTTCAATCGAAATTTCATTTTGGGGAACAGGAAACAGTCGCAGGGGGCGAGGTCAGGCGAATAGGGTGGGTGGGGAATCACTGTCGTGTTTTTGGAAGCCAAAAACTGCCGAACAACGAGCGATGTGTGGACGGGCGCGTTGTCGTGGTGGAGAACCCAGTTGTTGTTCTCCCACTTTTCCGGACGTTTGCACCTAATGCTCTCTCGTAGCCGCTTCAAAACTTCACAATAAAACTTCCCGTTGACATTTTGCCCAGGGGGGACAAATTCCTTGTGGACAATGTCTTGGATGTCAAAAATTAAAAAGATCAACATGGACTCATCGTCGTCGACAGACGTTCGTCCATCCTTAAAGCTTTTGTACCACAAAAAAGTTTTACTTTGACTCATAGCATTCTCACCAAATGCTTCCACAAGCATGCGGTGGGTTTCTACTGCAGTTTTTTTAAGCTTAAAACAAAATTTGATGCAGATTCCTTGCTCCTTAAAATCTGCCATTTAAAAAATCGCCTAACCACTACAACACAACGTTACATAAACGCACGAGACTCAAGAACGCGGCCTCTCGCCTTCACGGCTGTTGGCACACTAATTCACTAAGGTACTGCTCGCCCCCATCTAGCGGCGGCAGGCCATTCCACAACCGGTTCGCGCGTGGAATAAAAATTCCCCGAACTTTTGGGTAGCACCTCGTACACAATAGCCCGCCACCGGACTCTATTCTGAGCTAGCTGCATCCAATTCGCTCCATCGATTACTATCTCCCTAAGGTTAATCTGTGCCGTCACAGTGGACGCGTGGTCTGAGGCGCAGTCCTTGTGCCGTTTGGTCACTGGGACCGTGGGTTCGAATCCCACTCAAGGCATGGATGTTTGTCTGCGTCTTTATGTGTTGTGCTGTCCTGTGTACAGGTAGAGGCCTTGGGACGGGCTGATCACTCGTCCAAGGAGTCCTACCAACTGTCTAATAGATCAAAGCCAACGAAAATTTGGGACCCGCAGATGCTCAGGGCACTGAATAACGGGTCGCCAAAGTATCCTAAGGACCATCTTAATTTTATCCTCCAACCTACACCTAGGTCCTCCCTTCAGGACTCCCAAACAATGTCTTGTAAACGTCTCTCCCCTTCCCCTGCGTGCCGCATGTCCAGTCCATCTCATCATCCTCAATTCAATCACAATATCAGGTGAATCGTGAATCTTATCATTACGCAAATTTTCTCCATGATCCGTCTCCCTCAAAGCTCTATTCTCAAAGACCGTAATTCTCATTGTATGTTCCTTCCTCACAGTTAGAGACCAAGTTTCGCACCCATACAGCACAACTGGCAAAATTACACTTTTGTATATTTTAGTCTTTAGTTCTTTTGGCATGAGACGCGAGTACAAAAGATTTTGCTCTGAATGTTAGAATGTATTTCCTGAATTATTCTGATCTTCATTTCGTCATGAATGTCATTCTGACTTGTTACTGTTGTCCCCAAGTACTTGAATTTTGTCACATTTTTGATCGATTCATTAGCTAACCAAATATTCCGGTTCTGTCCTTAATCCTCATGCCGAAATATCATAATATACTTTGTCTTTTCTGCATTTATTTATAGATCTACATCCCTACTATCCCTTAAGGGTGTTTCTATGTTCGCTTTTATAATATTTGTATTTTCGCCCAACAGATTAATTCCATCAGCATGGACCATAGATGTGTCCCATTCCTTTCCAAACCACCCTGATTTTCTTGGTATTTCCTGATGGCATATTCTAAGGCAAAATTTAAAAGCAATGCGGATAGAGCATCTCCCTGTTTCCGGCAAATGTAGAAAATTTGATAAGTTTTATATCTATTACGACGGAGGCCACACTGATGATTCCCAATAATTTAAATGGCATATAGAGTCAGACTTGCCAGAATGTTGGATCAAATTTTGTAGGCAGATGATAATTATCATCTGCCTACAAAATTATAAGAGGGAGATTCCTTTACAATTATTACAGTCAGTCTTATCACCCTTCATATGAATTGGTACAATAGATTCCATCCACTGCTGTGGCATTTCTTCATCATTCCATGCACATCAAATGGGTTTGTGTATCTTGGAACGCAACGTTTCGCATCTGCTTTGACCATTTCGGCCGGAATCTGATTACTACCTGGAGATTCATAATTTTCCGACTTCTCAATAGGAGGTTCCACTTCGAAAGGGCTAGGTTCTGGTAGTAATGGCTCGGCCGTACGTGTATCCATCTGCGTAATATAATCAACCTCGTGTACAGTTAGCACCAGGTTAAAGAAATTTTTCCACCTATTCAAACCCTGTGGGGATCTGCAAGCATATAACCATTCTCATGTTTGATAATATTAACTCTTGGTTGGAGACCTTTTATAAATTAATCTATGCGTCTGTATAAGTCTCTGACTCAGGTGTTAAAACGAGAAGCTGCGAATAGGGAAAACTGGCGAACTCTTTTTGGGCAGAACAATGGACCTGTCGTCAGACAGAACACTAAATAATAATAATAATAATAAAGTCTCTGACATATTTGTTTCTGTAATTAGTTTAAAGTTCTTTAATTTTGTGTGATTCAAAGTTTTCACGGGGATTAAGTACATCAATTCTTCTCGGGCTACCAGTCGTGTACAGTGGTTTAATAAAGAAAACATTAAGCCACCTTACATGGCTCGTAGCCCGAGAAGAATTAATTATTCATTAATTTTGTTTTTCAGGTATTCATTTTTCTTCTTCCTAAACGTTGCAGATTATCTCCATTGATTTGGCTTTGATTCTATAACCATTGTAATTTGAGGGTTGGGCGTGAGGCTGACAACCTCACTCCGAAAAAAAAAGATTTGTTTCGATACTTCAAGCTAAGCCTCGGATGGAGGCTAAAGATTGAAGAGGCCGGGGTTCAACTTTGAACTGTAACGCCAAGAAGAAGAAGAAGAAGAAGAAGAAGAAGAAGGAGAAGAAGGAGAAGAAGAAGGAGAAGAAGAAGGAGAAGGAGGAGGAGAAGAAGGAGAAGAAGAAGGAGGAGGAGGAGGAGAAGAAGGAGAAGAAGAAGAAGGAGGAGGAGGAGGAG